TGCTGGGGTCCAACCCCAGCAGGTCCAGGGGTCCCCAAAGGTGTGGACAGAGTAGGTGAAGAAGGAAGGACTTGGAGGCTGCATTCAGGTGATCATCATGGCGAGGTTCTCCCTCCAGGATCTCCAGCCAAGTTCTGTCTAGGATCTCCAACCAAGGTCTGTAGCCAGGTTCTAGCCAGGGTCTCCAGCCAGGTTCTGTAGCCATGTTCTCTCGCTAGGTTTTCCATCCAGCTTCTCCAGGTTCTCCTGCCATGTTCTGTCTAGGTTCTCCAGGCAGGTTCTAGCCCAGATCTCCAGTCAGGTTGTCGCCAGGTTCTAGTCAGGTTCTCTTGCCATTTTCTTGCTAGGTTCTCTCTTCTAGTGTTTTTATGGTTTCCCAAATTAAATTGACTTATACACATATATGCATAGCCCATGGACAGACAATAGTGCAGGGAGGGCATGGGAGGGGAGGAGAGCTGGTAAAGGGGGTCAATGGCGGGTGGAAGGGACATCTGTAATATGTACACTATAAATATAAATTTTTAAAAAGTCTTCTGATTTCTTATTAGCTAATACCTTGTTATTCTCATTCACTATTATAGTCAATAACTCTTTGTCTCAAAATTTTCCTATTCAAATTACAGTGTGGTCTTTTTCTCCTAATTGGGCCCAGACTGATGCAGATGATTCTATTTCTTTATAGCTTAATTCACTCCTTAATTCTTTGCAATAGGTTTCTATTACTACTAATACAAAAATGTTGTAAAATCCAACCACATTTCTCCATACTGCTTTTTTTTCTTCTTCTTTTTTTTTAAAAAAATATATATTTTATTGATTTTTTACAGAGAGGAAGGGAGAGAGATAGAGAGTTAGAAACATCAATGAGAGAGAAACATCGATCAGCTGCCTCCTGCACACCCCCTACTGGGGATGTGCCCGCAACCAAGGTACATGCTCACGACCAGAATCGAACCTGGGACCTTTCAATCCGCAGGCCGATGCTCTATCCACTGAGCCAAACCAGCTAGGGATTTTTTTGCTTCTTGATGTAGAAAATTCTTGAAACTCATACCCAGGCTTCCATCATATTATACTATTCAAGGTGTCTCTCCAAATATCTTATTGTTCCTATGCATTGCCTTTATTAACACTAATTTCTCTTCATACTTAACTGGCACTACCAAAGTCTGAGCATTTAGACTTTGCCTACTTTCTGTTTATTTTTCTTCTTTAGATAACTCATATTCTTATGACTTCAGTTACCAACTCTTATCAAGTTACTTCCAATCTATATCTGTAGTCCTCTGATTTCTACGAACTTTATTTTTTTCCTTTTTAAATTAAATGTATTGGGCTGACATTGGTTACTATGATCTTATATGCTTCAGATGTTGGTTTCTATGTTACAAGATCTGAATATTGCACTGTGTGCCCACCAACTAAATCTTCTCCTGTCACCATATATTAGGACCCCCTTCACTTCCCATACCTGACTCTCTGGCAACTACCACACTGCTGTTTGTACTACTGTGAACATAGGGGTGCATATACCTTTTCTGATTGGTGTTTCTGATTTCTTGGGATATATTACTAGAAGTGAAATTACTGGGTCAAGTGGTAGTTCCATTTTTAATTTTTTGAGGAAACTCCATACTGTTTTCTATAGTGGTTGCACCAGTCTGCATTCCTACCAGCAGTGCAAGAGGGTTCCTTTTCCTCCACATCCTCTCCAGCACTTGTCGTTTGTTGATTTGTTGATGATAGCCATTCTGACAGGTGTGAGATGGTACCTCGTTGTTTTGACTTGCATCTCTGAGATGATTAGTGACTTTGAGCATGTTTTCATGTCTCTTGGCCTTCTGTATGTCCTATTTCGAAAAGTGTCTATTTAATTCCTCTTCCTATTTTTTGATTGGATTGTTTATCTTCCTTTTGTTAAGTTGTATGAGTTCCCTGTAAATTTTGGAGATTAAACCCTTATCGGAGATAACATTGGCAAATATGTTCTCTCCCATGCAGTGGTCTTTTTTGTTGTTTTGTTGATGGTTTCTTTTGCTGTGAAGAAGCTTTTTATTTTGATGTAGTCCCATTTGTTTATTTTCTCCTTAGTTTCCATTGCCCTAGGAGCTGTATCGGTAAAGATATTGCTATGACATATGTCTGCCATTTTGCTTCCTATAGATTCTTCTAAGATTTTTATGGTTTCCTGTCTTATGTTTAAGTCCTTTATCCATTTTGAGTTTATTTTGTGCTGGGCTGCATATCTGGTGCTTCGGCCAGGTGGGGCATGCTGTGCTCTCTGTTCCTAAAACACATAGATAGGAAGGTAGTCACTGTACTGATGCTGTACTGTGTCGGGAACAAATTGTGTAAAGAAGGCTTTGTAACTAACTTTGTGGTTTTTGCAAATAAAAACGCTGTAACTTCTGTAGTCGGCACTGCAGTTCAGCCTTTGCTTCAGCAGGGTGCTGTAACTGTAGTTGCTGGCCAGCTTAATAAAGGCTCCTAAATCTTGATCTGAGTCCCTGGTGGTTATCTCCGCGGGTCACCCCATTACAATTTTTTGTGTATGGTGTAAGTTGGTGGTCAAGTTTCATTCTTTTGCATGTATCTGTCCAATTTTCCCAACATCATTTAGTAAAGAGACTATCTTGACTCCATTGTATGCTCTTGCCTCCTTTGTCAAATATTAATTGAGCATAATGGCTTGGGTCAATTTCTGGGTTCTCTGTTTGGTTCCATTGGTCTATGTGTCTGTTCTTGTGCCAGTACCAGGCAGT